CTTAGATTGGTAAATGTACTACAAAGACCAGTGTATGGAAGATAATTTAAAGTATACTATGTAATAGATGCTGACAATGTCTCTCCCGTAATTGCAAGCCTATTACATACACGAAGTATTTCTTATTATTGTATATTTGAATGTAGAATATCTCAAAAAGTAAATAACTTGTAAATTAAATATATAATCAATGGTAACCATTATAATAATGAAAGAAAAGATACTTGCAGTCACGTCATCTTGCTATGTAATTAGTTATTTACTTATGCATACATGTAATTGTATATATTTTGAATGCTTGTACATGACTCTTTTGAGAGTTAATTTGCAAAATAAAGATTCTTCTTCTTCTTCTATATTGAAATGATTGTTACAATGCAGAAATTTTATCGACATTTTGCTCAAATAAAATGGTTTGCTTGAATTTATAATTTTGATTGCAATGCAAATTATTAAAATGTATGGCACTTAAGCATTTTTGTTGAATACATATCAGAGACTTGTAAATTAGCAGACATGGTTGGCAAAATTTGCAGTGAAACAACAAGGGCAAAGAAAACTGTGAATGCAAAAATACATATCACGTCTATTAAGCTAGCCCATGCATTAAATAACAATGTCTATAACATGTGGCAATTACCTAACTAGTGCAAGGAGATATATTATTTAAAATAATGTTAATAGAACGTTCGTGGTGTAATTATAGGGTTAAAGTGACATAACTGCTGAAATACTCGTAATACCTATAAAATAGTCACTCGGCATCATTGTCAACCTAGGTAATTTTTGTTGCCTCAGAAGGCACTAGGTTGGTTTATAGCAAGAGACGCTAATCCTGGCTGTTTACGTTATTAAATGACTGTAAAATGATCTAAATTAATACAGTATAAAATTGCTGTTTCATGAAGTCATTAAACAGTCTAAGTAACTAGATTGTTTTCTTCTAAAAGAAAACCACAAAAGAACAAATAAATACATTGTAACATTATAAAAAGTTAAAGGTTGTTTAAGCTTATGTGTGATGATATTAATGTACATGTACTGCAACTTTTTCCCTTTCTATAAACCTGTACTAATATACAGTTTGAGAGGGAAATCTTAAAGAAAACCAACTAGCTTTTTGTTAGAAAAAAGCCACCTACTTCGAAGTTGCAGCCTCATGTTCAGACCACTATCAAACTAAATTGGGAGTGTGTACGTTGACATTTTCTAGACTGCATGTGTAAGTTGACATTACTGTAAGTTGGACAATTTTTAAATAAATACAAAAAAATGACAGCAGACAACCAGTTCTTTTTTCATTAAAACGTCCTCTTATATATTTTAAGACCTGAAATTTTACTTAGAACTGACATGCGTATCGTTTCTTAAGTTTTCATCAACACTTTTACACAATAATGTGTACGTTGTCATCGACAATTTGCAAATATTGTTTGAATGTTCTCATAAAAGACAAAACATTAGACGAAACTAAATACATTTTTAGAAAGCATCGGAACTGCCGCGGTCGGTAGGCTTTGTAGTAAAATTTAAATCGGCTGGACAGAAAATAATCACTAAAAAACTTACTTCAGCCGAGCTATTATGGCCGTGTACGTTGACTGTTGTGGTCACATGACCAAAATTGCTTACCCTAGGAGATGTTAGAGACGAATATATATCAAATAAACATCGAAAACATGTTCAAAGACGCCTTACGGTATATTTCGATGCGATTTGAATTAAACATTACAATAATGATATATTCTTTCCGTTTGTTTTATACAAAACACAAAAAACAGTCAAAATAGAAATAATGGTGAATATCTTTGTTTTGGAAAGAAAATGAAAATTGGAACACATAAAACAAATGAAGATAAAAGCAATCTGCTGACTCCGATTGTTGCAGTATTTGGAAAACCAAACTGAAATTGAATTAAAGCTAACATTCTATTATTTAACTTATGACTGTTTCAGTATTATAAGTATTTTTTCCTGCCATATACTTATGTTCTTCTTAATACTTAAATTATTTCTAACAAAATACATATTGCATGAAACATAACATTCTTATTGAGCATTAATTAATTAAAAGTTACTTAGGACAAATGAAGATATATGTTAGGAAAAAAAAAAACAACATAAACTTACATTAAATTTGCACTGTAAAAAGAACGGAAGTTTGAAGATAATATGATCCAAATGTTTTGATATCAGTTTGAAGCATGTTTAAATGACATGACTGATAAGATAAAAGTTAGATAAGTCATACAAATTTAAAATCTTAATATTAACATAAGTTTTCGTTTAGCATTTATACATTCATTTTACACTAAACTATTACGAACAATTATTTTTAATAATGAATAGTTTTATAGAATTTATGCTTTTAACTTTATTCCCTGTCATGGTGCAAACTTTGCTGAATTATATATATGACAGATTCTAATCTTAAGGTGCTTAAATATGTGAAATATATAGATATTTTTCCCGATTATGTCCTTTATTGATATATAAGAAAATGACTGGTGTAAAGACTGTTTTAAACTTCGCGAAATAATTGAAAGTGAAAGAAATAACAATACAATAATACAATAAGGTATTTTAAAGTCTTTAAGTCACTTGAAAAGTCAAGAATATAATGCTTAATGGTCGACAGTGTTTGCATGCAAACTAAGATTTGAATGGTTCATTTAATTACGAATTTTATACCAGGACATTTAGTGTTGAAGATGGCATACTGCTTAAGCTAGTGCTGGAGAGGGTGTGGAATGTTGAATTGAAGCATTATCCAGCATGGCAAGCCTCGGTCAAACAGCGTCTGTAATTTTCATGTTTGTTTGTTTGTTTGATTTACGGTGCAAAACACAATTTAGACAATGGCACCGAAACGAGCGAAATGATTTAGGATAATCTTGGATGTTAAAACTTCAAATCATCGCCAGGAGTAAAACCCATCTCAACTGCTTTAGCTTCAGAACAGCAACAACAAAAGCAGATCCATATTACATAGAAAATTTAATTAAATTGTTTGGAATACGGTCAATATTAAAAATTTGTAACGCCAGTCATATTTTGTTATAATTGAAACACAAATTTGTGGAACGAAAATAATGCTGTCTATTTATGAGGAATTTCTAAAAATGTCGGGAAAAACCTTAAAGAAATTTACTCATTTTCCAATTCCACAATTTTAAAACGAAAATTAAAATGTCCAATAGAATGATATCTTGTCAGTATTGCTCCATTGTATTTATACATTACAACGAATTTAGATAGATTGTTTATTCGTTGATAATGACGCAGATGTAAGTTTGAGAGATAATCAAAATCTCAGAACAGCCGTTTATATTATTAGTTATAAAGATTGTTGACAGGTTATATGGCCCTATATAAACGGCTATTTGTTAATATAACCCGAGCTGCTAGGCGAGGATTATATATTGCAAACAGCCGTTTATATACGTAACATGTGTTACTTGTATTTCGTGGGTTAGTGGGGTATATATATAATGTTTTCGCTGTTTTTCTTCACTCAACGCTTGCATTTGGTAGTTCTTAATAAAGAACCTGTTTAAATACGCCCCACCCGACCCCATCCCTTCTTACAACAAAAGTTTTTTGTAATGAAGTATTTTAATACACATTCTTGCTGAATATTTAGGCTTTTTCATTATTCTTCACATGACACACACAAAATCTTTTCGTGAAATATAACTAATTCAAGTTGCATAATTTAATTAATTTTCTTTGTTTTAATGAGCATAATTTGTTATTTAATATTTTACAGATAACACAATATTGTAATACTTTGTAATACTTTGTAACCACGTTTTCAGATCTGTTTTAGTTTCGTTTCAGAGTTTCGGATACAGCAACAATGCTATACATCTGATGAATCCCCAATACAAGAACATAACAGATACAGATAAATACCAATTGATTCTATTGTTTGTAATATGTACTACTAAATATTACTCGATATGTACTACCAAATATTAAGCGTTATTCCTATGTATTTGTTGTTGTTTCTTGCTATAGTAGATTAGAGAATAATTGATTTACTCTCGACATAAGAGAGAGTAAAGGCTATGTTTGGATTATTTGTTATAGATAACAAGTTTTAAGAGAGACCTTTTTTGCTCTCTTTTATTTTGTGTACTACACAGGCTGACATGATAAAAACACGTGCAATAAAAACATGAAACCGAAAGTAGGAATTTCACACAAAACATATCACATTGGATTTGATGTTACAGGGAGACAACGTTTTAGTTAATTCTATTTGTACTTAAATTGCATTACCTTCCCGCTATACTACATGTGTATTTAATAAATATATAGAGAAATGAGCATAAGTACACACACACGAAATATCTGTATAAGCATAAATGTATAATATTACAAGTTATGAATTACGTCGTTGTTTAGAAATCAGTAGACGACTGATAATTCCGATAACTGCAACGTATGTGTTATTAAGATAAACTTTTGAAACCTTTAAAGACGTTATGGAACTGCGAAAAAATGATGTTTGTAGGGGCGGAAGTGGGAAATTCATTAATTAAATGATTCATATGTATTGACATTTTCCAATCTTGTTAATGTTTTAATGCTTTTAAATCTCTCATGCTCATATATATTATAAATGTGTTGAAACAAAAATTTAGGATATATTTTATTGAACTGAAAATAAAATAATTTAACCAATTGTATGCGTATCTTTCATCGATCAGTAATTTTAAATTCATTATAGCAAAATTCTTTTAAACTTTAAGGATAACTTTTTTATTTTGACACATTAACACAAATTACGTATTTTGTACTGTTCTTTTTATTCTTTTGTAGCAGGTTCTTTCAAATAAATGATGGGATCAAATTAAATGATATTGTTACAAACGATTGAAGTATGAAGACTAATTCATACCATTTATCAAACAAGAAGAATGACGCTGTTTGTTTTACTTTTATTGCAAAAATCCCAAACATTTTATATCATATGATAAAGTGGCGATATATTTAAACAGGAAACATAATGTACACACAACAAGGATATTAAGATATTTAATGCGATTATGTATGGTATTGTATATAATCTCAATATGTTTTACTCAATGCATTTATATACTTATGGTATTGTCTAGTCACACATTATGCTCAATATGTTATGCCCGGTACGTTTATATATGGTATCGTGGAGTCACTCATTATGCTTAATACCTTATACATCAAAACGTTTATATAAAGTATTGTATAGTCACACATTATGCTCAATATCTTAATGCTAATTATCAAGGACATCAATGTTTATAATGCGTTTATGTATAGTATTGTGTAGTCACAATACGTTAAAGCTCAATATGTTATTATAAAGTGTCGTGTAGTAACACATTTTGCTCAAATCATTTATGCTTCAATCGTTCATATATAACATATTGATGTCACTAATTATGCTCAGTACATTTATGCACCAAAATGTATTGTATAGTCACACATTATGCTCAATATGTTCATGCACCATACGTTTATATATGGTATTTGGTAGTCACTCATTATGCTCAATTATCCGATGTAAAAATGAATAAACGTGTATACTGCAAACACATTGCAATGTTTTAAAAATGAATCTTAAAAGTTCATGATTTTCGTAAAATTTATGATTAATAAATACGTAATGAGAATTTGAAATTCAAATAGAAGATAAACATCAGAAAAAAAACTTCAAACAAAGATACGTTGAGTGTAGTATCTTTCGTATATATTCTAATGACTTATTCGATAGCAATTACTCTATTTAGGACTATTTCAACGATTTTCTCATCAAATCATATATTATTAAGTTTAAATCAATAACTGTCATGATAAGATCACAAATATGACTTTTTGCCAAATTATTCCGTCCTCGTATCTTCAGGGATAGCATAACATTTTTATAGCATTGTTTAAAAGTTACACTGTTTTATAATTTAAAGGGCTGTATCACTTTTATGTTCGAAACTCGGTTCGCATTAATGAATCTGGCAATTGAACAAGGTAACACTGGTGTATTTTATTTCTTCAAGACATCTTCGATTGGTGATGATGCAATTATACAGTTCTTGCAAATCACGTGAATACTAGTTATTGATCAATTTGTTTAACAGCTTACAAATATGGAATTTGGCCGAATTATTTCGTCTTCTAATCTGAAGGGAACGTGCATAACATTTGAAAGCATTTCCTAGATTATTCTCTTCTTCCATACACTGACCTAGAAGATTGAGTGCTGTTTCCTTATGTCCGAGATTTGGTTCATTATCAATGGTTCTGGCAATGTTAGAGAGAGCTCTCTGTTTATCATCTTGCTTTCCTAGATGGGAATATATCTTGTACTGCATGAAATAGAGATAAGGGAGAGAATCTACAACAGCCATGTCCATCCATTCATCATCTTCACTTCTGTAAGCAAGGTCTTCCTGTGTTGATCTAAACATTTCATGTTGAAGTTCAAATGGACAACAGTTTATTTCACATCGTATAAAACAGACACATAATGCTGTTATATATTTAAGCAACGTGCATTCTTCATTTGATTCATAACATAATCTGTCGAAACCATCTCTTCGTGGAGACATTTTGAAAACGTAACACGTACACACTGGTTCAACAACACTTAGATCATAACACTCCTCAATATTTTTCAGGATATGTTCAGTCCTCTCAATATCTCCGGTACAATAGAAAACAGATGCTAGTTTCAGTTTACCAGATGCTACATCGGAGTCAAGTCCTAATGACAGGAATGAAAGAGCCTTTTTGTATGTTAAATGGTCTTGTTGGTAAATGTTTAAAGAAGCTAGAATAGATCCAATTGAACTACATAAATGTCTTGTTATCAAGCGGTTAGCTTTTGTATTCTCATTATGGTGATTTGCAATAATTGTTAAAAGTTTTTGCGTGGCAATTCGTGGTGATAAATCTTTCATTTCATGTAAGAAGGATTTGAAACTTTCATTCATAAAAAGGGCAGTATTATTTAGCAAAAGTCCAGCTATTCTAGTTGGTATAACATGTTCATTTATTTGTATAAAACCATTTAAACTTGACTGCAGACATATTCCAAAGTTGTCGCATTCAATTTCGAGTAATGCCCTTCCATAACTTTCAATAACATAACGAAGAGTTTCAAGTATTAACGGCTTCGATTCCGGAGAAATTCGCCCGCTCAATAAGTTGTTTTGTGTGATGACGAAATGAGGACAGTATTCATTTTGAACACAGTTGTAAAGTGTTGATAAACAAAATGATAGACAAATAAAATGGGTATTTTCATTCCATGAATCAGATCTTGTAAATGAAATGCAATGTAACAAAACTGTTTTACATATAAAACTTGAAATGCTGTCGGGGAATCTTTGAGATATAAATGTTTTCAGAATCATTTTCATCAAAACATAACACCTGATTTGTGTAATATTAAGAGTAAACATTAAAAATCTCTCTGCAAATGATGTAGATATTCTCCATTCAAGTATTTCATTTACACTTCCTGTTTTTCCAACGCCAACAACAAAACATCGCATGTTTCTACAGTACTGTATCATATCATTTGTAGGCCAATGCTCTTCTCTATGTTGACATAACCAGTGACTTGCTTTAACTGGGTATAACCGAGAGGGAAAAGCAGGAACAAAATCATTATCATTGACCCCAGGAACGTCTTGTTGAGAATGGGCTGGGCCGTGTCTCAATAATTCATTATTTCCAACAGAATTGAATATTGTATTTTTTAACAATATTCTCCCCATTCTGTCCCTATATGAATGATCATTAACTTCAACTACTTCTGGTAGTGGAGCATCATCTCTTAACTCTTGTAACAAGCAATATCCTGGTGAGACATTCTCATCTTGTATCATCAACAAATTACGTTTACCATATTCCCATTCACTCCAGTCTTGTATCACATTATATGTGTTCATAGATATAACACAATCTGTGTCAGACTGTAATCCTAGAGTTGTTGTACCTTCTATTTGACTACCGAAGTTGAACATATTCACATCATTACCGCGTAGCTGCTGAGTTAACGTCAATATTGATTCATTCAGTAGCATTGCTTTTCTTCTTTTCATCACAATCTTCTCGTTTATACCAATCCCATCCATCACTTGAGACATTTTAAGTGATAAATTGTGAGCGTAATCTGGTATCCTCGACATTCTGAAATAAAACAGAAATTCATTTGTTTTATAGAAATTTCTATATTTCTTAATACAATATATTAGATTTCACGATAAATAAACAACAATTTATACTTTGAAATGAATCCCTGTAAAACACGGATGTGACACATTTAAACAAAATATTTATAAATTGTAACTTTTATAAATGATTTAACTATGTATAAAAGCTCAACATTTCAAATAAAAAAGGGAAATAAAGTTATATATTTACCTTAATTGAAATTGTACAAAACGAAAACGAAAGTTGGAATTTCCAATGCATCAGACCTGAAATGGACAGGTTGAATGGTACTAAATAGTAAATCAACAAAGTACTAATTTCCTTATTTGTAAATTGAATCTTACACAGACAATAGAAAAGAAATAAACGCTTTATGGTTGCTATTTTATAGAATGAAATTATAATTGTTTGACGCTAAAATATATAGAGGTTTCAAAAATATTTCTTC